TCACCTAAAGACATCAACTTTATGACTGGACGCTTTGCAAATGGAGATTTTTGTCATGCTATCTACCTGAAGCAAAATTTGATGTTGAGGATCAATAGATAGTTGATAATTACTTAATTCTTGGATATCCGTTCGAAGAAGATAATGCATACACAGATTTCAGATGCATTTTATTCATCGCCAAGAACCTAACCATAACAGTTTTCTATCCTGTGCTTGGAATGCGAGCTGTTAAGGACAGCGATGAGGCCAATCCTGTTGCCATTCTTGATCAGGAGGAAAAGCTTGAAATAGATGGTGAGGGAGGAGATTCTAGTGGAGAGGCTGATACTGATGGTGAAGATAACACAGAAAAAGAATTCAAAAATGCTACAGGAAAGCAAAAGAGGTTATTTGAGTTAAAACTGAAGATGGTAAGTGCATATCAGCATTTGAAATAGGATGTTATCTGTATATTCTTGTTGTTTGGGAAGCATATATATATACATGGCTAACTTATGCTCTTCCATAAATTGATTATTATCCTTCGTGACATTATTTGGAATATACCATGGCTTGTGAATTCATACATGCAGAATGAGGCAAGAAAAGTCAATCAGACTGCCATGGTTGCTGAGAAGAAAAGAATGGAACCTCCTGAAGAGTCTAGAGGAATTTCCAAGCAAAAATGGCTTGAGGAGAGGAAGAAGAAAATTGGAAGACTTCTTGATGCCAATGGTTTGGATATGAGCGAAGCATATATGCTGGACACGCAAGACATGGCAGAGTCAAAATATAAAAAATGGGAGAAGGAGCCTGCTCCTGCTGGTTGGGATGGTATGACTTAATATTGTTTCATTGTTAATGTTTCTTACATGTGCAAGTAGTTTTTAATAATAGCTATTGTGTGCGGCTGCGCTAAGATTATCTGAAATTTGCATAAACCCATTGCTGATATATACTTATTTTGTACTGGAGTTTTTATTCGTAGCTATTGAATGGATGTTCTAAAATTATATGAATATGTGCAATAAGCGATGCTGCACCTGAATCTAATGAGGTCATCAAATGGTTTCACAATTGCTAATGTCATCTTTCGGGGAAAATGGATGACATGATGTATTGATATATTTTTTGAATACTAAATATCGTTCAAAATAACTTGTGGAACTATTATTTCGTGTATTTCTTCAATTAGTAGTGAATTGCTGATGGATGTGCATATCTCACACTCTGTACCATCACATACCATGTACTGACTCAATTTAGGTCTGAAAACTTGTATGTACTATAATCATTGAATGTTACCTGAAATTTCGTATAAACAATGAATGCTAGACCTTCTGTTCGATATAGAAGTAATTTCGAGTCCCGTTCTCAGCATAAGCGACATCAATGTAAAAGGACGACTGGTGGTTGATTCTTACTTTGTTGATAAAATGAACTGAAGCAATCAAAAGATTTAGATTATACATTTTCAGTTGAGTACTCCCTTGATCCTTATTAGTTACTTGGATAATTATATGATTTTCACTTCTCTTTCCCATAAGGACAACTATTTCACTCTGTAAATGTTCTGTTAATATTTGTGACACGAAGTAATTTTAATATGTTTACAGATTTTGCTGTCATCTGATTACTGATTATATAAGTTACATTGGAGTTTGTGTTTTGTAGTTTTTAATCAAAGGACACTGTACAATGCATATAAGAAAAGGACAAAGAATATTGATGTAGATCTTGAAGGGTACAACAAAATGAAAGAATCTGATCCAGAATTCTACCGAGAGGCTTCGAGCTGTACAACGCATATAAGAAAAGGACAAAGAATATTGATGTAGATCTTGAAGGGTACAACAAAATGAAAGAATCTGATCCAGAATTCTACCGAGAGGCTTCGAGCCTTCAATATGGAAAGGTGAGCATGCTTAATATATTTCGACAGGAGATCATTTTATTGAGATATTTTTTATGGAGGTGCTCAATTTTTGTGTTATTAATGGTGATCAGGCTCCAAAGATATCAGAACAAAAAAATTGACAAAATGGTGAAGGAGCTTAAGGACAAAGAGGAGAAGGCGAGGTCCTTTAGCAGACGGAGAAAATACTGTGAAGAGAAGGATATTGACTCCATTAATGATCGCAATGAGCATTTCAATGAGAAGATTGAGCGAGCATTTGGCAAATACACCCTGGAGATCAAGAACAACCTTGAGAGAGGAACTGCTTTGCCAAATTAAGGTACAGCCATGATACTGTACCATGTAACTATTCCTGTTCATCTAGGGATACAACTCGTGCTTTTTTAGTGTACGGCACTTCTATATTTTGTCTGTGATTTTGGTGTGTATCTTGATTCTTATGGAAATTAGGAGGATGCGAAACTGCAGCTTATTCTTTGATGCTTATGGTGTATGATGTTTCTATGGTTCTAAAGAAAGAAATGTCAATGTGCCACACATGCAGAAACTTCTGGGAGAGTCCATTATTGGATATGCAATACACCCTAACCAACAAATGAAGAAAGGGACATAACAAATAAAAAACATATAAGCATTATCTTCTGCAATTTTTCATTTCAGCAGGTTGAACCCTAGAATAATTGAGAAAGATATAACGAGTAATCATTGTGCTCAACTGCAGTTTTTATGAAAAGGAACTGCTGAACTGAGTAAACAAGAGACTGAAGAGGCTGATCACACATTCATTAACTTTTGATTTAAAATGTGTATCTGTGTCGCATTATTGTAATTTGAAGAGAATGGTTCCAGGTTGAGGTGCTCGTCTTCGAGTCAAGTATTATGTCTTGGTGAAAACCAGAGCGTTCTTCGAAAAGCTTGTCTTGTATATCTTTTGAGTGATTGATGCTGGAGTTGATCGTTAGCTTTAATGTTGCATGTGAAGTATTTGACCAACTCAAAAACCATACAGATATTTTGTTGATCACAAAGATGAGGAAATGCTATGCTCTATGATCCTTACACGATATGTTAATGTTTCTCAATTTCCTATCTTATCCACGTGATTCCATTGCGTGACATTCTGATCTGATGTGGGCTGCCATATCAACATATTGAACGTTGAACTTGCTGACATAAAACATTGTGAGCAAACTCAGGATAAGGAGCTCGATATTGGAAACACAATATTTATTGTGTAGAATTATGTCAATGATCGCTGTCCAGAAACTGTTAAATGGGTTGCATTTTATATTTTGAGGAGAATGAGCATTTGGGGTCTCAGCGCACTATGGACAATATGATCACGACTGGAGGGTTCGAAGGGACTAAGCTATCTGGGATTTCAATTCTAATATCGCATAGTTTGCATGCCCATTATACTACTTTTAGTGTTGATGGCAAAATCTGCTATATAGTAGAAGTTGAAATTCTTGGAGAAAGCAATCAATGATGGGATCGGAAAAGGTGGTGGCACGGTTTACTCAAGTTAGGATTATAGCTCCCAGAAAAATGTAACAGCAGAATTTTAAAGGTACTTTTGTATTGATGGATAGAATACGATCCTTGTCAAGTGGCTAAAAAAACCTTACGGCGAATTCACGTATTTATGAATGTCAATCATTCTTTATTGAGTGTCTTGATTATTCTAGAACCCTTGCTGATTTGATTGATAACTTGAGAGATACTACTTTGAAAGAACTAAAATTCTAACTTCGTGTCCTACAAGTCAACGGATAGTTTCAGGTAGACGGTTTCTATTAAAAATTTAGTGATGTCAGAAGGCAAGTGCTAAAAGCACGTTGAAGTGACGTTTCTTATGATTTTATTGTTGTGAACAGTGGATTTTCTTTTTATATATATGTTTTTCGTCACAAGGTCCACAATGCATGTACGTGTCAGACTTTCGTATGCGGACATTTAATTAGTTCGTCTATTTTTAAGAATAGTGAGTTGATTATTCCAATGGTTGCTGAACTCAGGTTTGTTTTTTATTGGTCGCTGAAGTTTAAAATGTCAAATTTTGATCACTGAATTTAGGTCCATATCTTCGATTGCTCACTGAAATATAAGATGTTGAGTTTTAACCATTGAACTTTAAAAAATGTTGTATATTATTCACTGTAAATTCGACGTTTTTTAAAGTTCAACATTTATGCCAATGAATAACGTACAACTTTTTTCAAAATTTAGTGACCAAAACTTGACACTTTAAATTTCAGTGAGCAATAAAAAACATGGACTTAAACTTAATGATCAAAACTCGACATTTTAAATTTCAGTGATCTTTTATTCAACGACTATTGGAACAATTAATTCCCAAATAGCACGAGTTCCCCACTCTTTAACTGGTTCTAAGCTGAACCCAAGAAATTTAGCAGTGCTCAAAATTTACCGGCTTTCTCTGGAACTGAATTGGTCCCCAGACGCTGCTGAGATGGGCGGAGCCAGGAAATTTGTTGAGTGCGGGCATAATTTAACACACGTCAAACATTGAATTTTGGTCATAAATCTAATGCAAAATTAAAAAAAAAAAATACTAAAAATGACATAATTTATAATTAAACGTGTCTTCATATTTTGAAAAGTGAAGTCCAAATCAACTTATACCTAAAATCAAGCAAAATCATGAGATATTGCTATATATATATAAAAGAAGTTTTGGGCCTAAAAATTCAATGCGAGCATATGCCTGCACCCGTCCTCACATGGCTCCGCCCATGGCTGAGAATCAGGTTTCTTGGGTCCTCGAAAAGGGTAGTTCAAAATCTAGGGTTGATTACTCCTTTCCGTTCAAGTGGCGTGACGTTTTATCAATAACATGCGTGAACAACGACGTTCAAATTCAACCACCATTTGAACTTTTTGAGCCCTTGTAATCTGCAACTTTATTAAGGTACTGAAGTTCCATAATAACCGATAATCTGAGACTTTTCTGCCATATTTCTAGCAACCAAAAACTTTTATTCAATTATGATCGATTAAAAGGTTATCAATTTTAATTCTTTGAGCTCAGCCAAACATGCTCATATATCAAGCCCAAAATCGTAAGTGCTAAGCCCTATTAAATTTACAAGAATTGAATTATAACTCGTAAGCAGAGGAAAACAGGAAGTTATAATGTTTACGGTTAACACAACCAGCTTAATGTACTGTTACAGACATAATAACAGGGAGAGAAACAAGGTTCAGCATAAAAAAGACGAGAGAACTTATTTCCAAACGAGTTATAGATCAAAGCCTACAACAAAATATGCACGTTGCACATTCTTCATCATCACTCGAATGCCCAAGCATTCTCCCTTCGTAATTCTTCCTTCTCCTCCGGAGTGAACTCGTTCTTAATATTGAATGTCTTCCGAATTTCCTCAGCAGTCTTCCCCTTGATCATGTCCGCCACTGTTTGACATGTAAGGTCAAGCAAGCTCTTGATGTTTAAGTAGTTGGCAGCCTTCAAAAGAACACGACAAACGGTCACCAGCAAGAGTTATCACGTCAAAGATACAAAACTGAAAACCATTATAGCAGTGCTTGCAACAAATCACCTCACAGTTAAGGAGTGCCTTCAAGCACACACGAGAACAATGTCTATAGGTTATCTAATACAGAATGTTGAACGAGTAACAGATGTCCTAGATCAAAACATAAGATGCCTACCCAAAAAACAATGGAGATTGTCAATCCTCTGTGTGCATTATCATCATCACCCAGTACATTGCTCAAGTGAATGGCATTCTTGATAAAACATCCAAAAAAGCAAGAACTAAACTATCCATTCCATCCAAAATATATAAATACAATTACCAACATAACTGACAATACACGGATCTGGTAATGCTGAAACAAATATGACAATTGTCAAAAAGTTAGGATAAATTTATTTGCATTTGAATAAATCTAATCTTATATGTTATATTCTGTAAATATGAGAGATATTTGAAAGATATCTTATTGTTAGACTGTTAAGTTGTTTCCATTTTCTAGGATAGTTAAGATTTCTATAGAATTCTTTTGCTGTATATACCTGTATGTATTACTCTTTCAAGCAAGGAGATAAAATGAAGTTTTATTCTTAAAGCTTACATGGTATCAAAGCAATTAAGGCTACTATATTCTGAAGCTTTCTGCTGGAAATCAGCTCCTTTTTTTCTTCTGTTTTCTTGAACAATACAGAATTTTTCTCATTTCAGCCTAAAACCTTCTGCCGATTCCAGCCCATCTCTTATCTGTTTTTATTAGGGACGGATTTTTTTATTTTTTTTTTATCTTTTTATTTTTTTTTTTAAATCTTCGAAAAAATAGCAGATTTAATTATGGTGAAGACGGCCATAACAGAAGCTGTGAGGAGCTCATCTTCTGGAGATGCAAAAGAAGAGGTGGATTCCAGCCAACCAACTGCTATCTCTAACCCAGATCAGTTCCAGTCATTACAAATAACAGTTCACAAATTTAATGGCAAGAACTATTTCAAATGCGCACAGTCCATGAAACTTGTGATCGATGGAAAAGGTAAGCCTGGCTTCTTGAATGGTGAGGAAAAATAACCAGCTGCAAATGATCCAAGAGCGAACGTACGGAGATCTCAGAATTCTATAATTACTGCATTGTTAATTAATTCGATGGAACCTGGAATAGGGAGACCATATCTGTATTTGCCAACAGCTAAGGAAATATGGGATGCAGTTCAACATACATATTCAGATGTTGAGAATTATTCTCAAATCTTTGAGTTAAAATCAAAGTTGTGGCACCCAATGAAAAATGGGAAAGTCCCAACAGTAGTGCACAGCATAAGAAGCTAGTTGAAGATGAAAGGCTTTATGTCTTTCTGGTCGGCCTAAATCAAGAACTAGATGAGGTGCGAGGTCGAATTGTTGGACGTAAGCCACTGCCTAGTATTCGTGAAGTTTTCTCTTGAGGTTAGGAGGGAAGAATGCAGAAAGAATGTTATTTTAAACAACCATCCAGAAACTGAAAGTTCAGCTCTTGATAAAACATCCAAAAAAGCAAGAACTAAACTATCATTCCATCCAAAATATAAATACAATTACCAACATAACTAACAAGACAAGGATCTGGTAATGCTGAAACAAATATGAAAATTGTCAAAAAGTTAGGATAAATTTATTTGCATTTGAATAAATCTAATCTTATATGTTATATTCTTTTAATATGAGAGATATCTAAAAGATATATTATTGTTAGACAGTTAAGTTGTTTCTATTTTCTAGGATAGTAAAGATTTCTATAGAATTCTTTTGCTATATATACCTATATGTATTACTCTTTCGATCAAGGAAATAAAATGAAGTTTTATTCTTAAAACTTACAACAATATTACTCAAATGCTCATCACAGAGTTATAGCAGCACGTACATCAAAGTATTCAGTTTATCTCCAACATGGTTTTAAGGCCACTGGTGTTGAAGAAGATTCTCAAATAGGACATCATGGTATAAACATTTAGAGAAGTTCTAAATAAACAATAGACACTATAAGTAGTTAAAAACCACCATTACTAATGACTTCAGACAAAGTTCTTAACAGTTTCAAGGCACCACCCGTAACATAAATTTCCTGATTGTAATCCAACGCCTATTCTAAAGGGGTGTCAAAAAAGGGAGAACCATTGAATATCAATGAAAGCAAAGAGACCACATAACCCATGTCACCTCCACAGGCAAGTACTGTTCAAAAATCCATTTTATCGAGTACAAACCCCCTGGTTTACCAAGCATTATGGCAAAACATTAGAGAGGAACAAGTACATACGCAAAAAAAAAATAGCCATTCCAAAATTTAAGAAGAATAAAGATGGCCCAAGAATAAAACATACTCCAGATAGATGCAGACTTGCATAAAAAAATCACACTATTCAAAGTGCTAAAAGAGCAATATCTTCAATCCAAATAAATCCCAGAAACTTATTTTATTTTTTCTTGCTTGTACATACAAATAAGCTTCCATAACTCAAGGAGTACATCAACAAATAAGGGACACCGGAATCACATTAGCAAAATAAAAATATTAACACAATAAACAGTATTGAGCAACAAAAGAGAAGCCGTTCAGTTGGACAGGGGATCAGCTGAGTTGGATAGATTGGAATTGGAGAAGAGTACACATCAGTGTGCCTACAGGGAGCTGCTCTTAGTTGTTAGTCTTAATGCTACTGTCTGTCCTAGGTATTGAAACACACCCAAAAAATAAATAAATTAATTAAACATAATAATAAAAAAAAAAAAACGGAAATCACAAGCAAAAACCAAAAGAAATCTCAGATGCAATCAAAACTAAAATAATCGTAATCATTATAAAACGAGAAACCCTAAGCAACAACAACGTTAGGGGGAATAGTTAAACGGCAAATTCGAGGACCAGAATAGTCAGTTTTAATGAAAGACGGAGAACGGTTACCAAAATGAGATCAAAAAGAGTGCTTTTATCGACTTTCACAAAGTCGGCATCGAACGCCTTGAGGTCCTCATCAGCTACCCTATCGGCAGTTGCAGGCGTGCCATCCGCGGCGGCTTCAACATGGCGCTTACAGTACTCAATGACTTTAGCCAGGATCTTGGAGGTAACGTTGGGGAGAGGTCTACTGGTGTCGGCACAACCATCCTCGATCATGTGTTTGATGGTCTGCGACTGCAGCGCCACCGTCTCCTCCACCTCGAACGTCTCCCCGTCGGAACTTTTTAGCACTATCATCTTCTGAGTTGCGTCAGTGGACGACATCGTTCAGATCAATCGGAAAATCCTAAACCTAGATAAGAGAGAACTAAGGATGCAGAGAAAAAGATAATTGAATTTAGAGTGACGGTGGAGTTATATTTATAGCGAGTGTCAACAGCACGGTTGGCAGTGTCGGTGGGTTACTGGGTGCAAATGCACAATTTTAGACACGTGATAATCTTTGAAATTTCATGATTTGTTGGGTTACTTATTCCAATTCCAAATGTTCGATAACCCATTTGACTTAAATTAAAAATTAATTAAAATTTTGCGTAAAAATCAATAGTTAATTATAATCACAAATTTTATGAAATTTACAATTTTTAAATCATATATTTCACTAAATTTTATTAAAAATTTGATTTTAATCTTAAAAAAATACTCTTTATAAAATTTATTTTAACGAAATAGCTCAAACGGAGATTTAGCCATCTCCAACTCTACGCCAAAATTTGAGGTAAATTTTATGTCAGATTTTGCACTAAACTAGAATTCATATTCAATCCTTACACCAAATGAATAGCATTTAATCATTTTCTTCATTTTTTTATTCTTAACAATTTATTTCTTTATTTTTTTTACAACTACATAAATTACTAAATAAATAATTACGTTAGATTAATGAAAATATTTAATTCATTGAACTATTATTTTTTATATTGTTAAAAATTACTATAAATGTGCATAATAATAATAATAATAATAATAATAATAATAATAATAATAATGATGATGATAACAACAACAATCATCATCATCATAATTTATTGTACTAAAAAACATATAACACAGCTAACACAAATATTCTTAATCAGTTTGTTTGGAAAATGAAAATAAAGGGTAAAATTGACTTTTTGGTGCGAAGTTTGATGGTGCTTTAGAGCAATTTGCACCATTTTTCTATGCAATTTGATCTTTTGGTGTCTCCTCTAGAGATGTCTAGTCCTAGAAATAGTGTTTGATACAAATGCAGGTATGGAGCAATCTAGAACGAGGATAAAGAAAAATGAATAATATTTTTTATGATTCGAAAACTTTAAGCAATAAAATATAATGAATTATTGTATAGTCGAGCACCATCTTTATTGAATTAATTTGGTCACGTGGCATGAGATTAATGGTTACAACCTATGTTTTAAAAGGAGAAAACGCATTGCAACATGTGGGTCGAATTTAGAAGTAATAATGTATTTTTAATATTATTTTAATTATTTTTTAGACTAATAATGCATACTTTGAAATTTATAGAAAATTCACATATTTTTCAAAATTTAAATAAAAACATAATTCTCAAAATCATAAATATCATGAATCAATATTGTTTTATTTTAACAGATAAATCTTTGTTTGTGGGATTACTTTGAGCTAGGATGAGCTTTGTTAGACTTACTTTAAGTTTGAATGTTTATTTAATAAGTAAAATCGTTGGATCCAAATTTAATTGTGGAATCATTCGAGCTCAATTCCATTTGATTTCCAAGTTCCGTACAATAATTAAATTTTTGAATATTTACAACGCTACATTAAGTCAACTAATGACATGTTTAATCTTAATTCTTACAAAATAACGCAATTCAATCTTATGTATTTTTTGCATCTCTTTGTTGAGTTCTTTATGGATTTGATTGTTAAAATCACAGGAAGACGAAGATTAGTGGTCTCACAATAATGAAATGACACGTAGTCAAGCATCTAATTCAATTTCTTTATAACGGTAGAAACGACATTATGGTAGAATAATAGATTTCGGTAAAATTTAAGTCAATTTGATTGAATTGGGTTTGGGCTGAAAATTAAAAATAGAAAAATCATATTTTGGGCTTGGGGTAAATTAATTTGTTAGTAAATTTATTTAGAAAAAAATAAAATAATTTGACTAATTTAAGATAAATAAAAGAGAGAGAAATTTGATTTTTCGGTTCTTGATACGGAATCAAGAATCAAACCAAATCCGTCAGTTTTTTATTCAAATATCCATTCAGATATTTAAATTACTTAGAATCGATCGATTCGATTCAGTTCGAGTAGGGTCAAATTTAATTCAAAAGTTTTGTCCAACTATACGTTAAAGCATGAAAATATCATATGTCAAGTAGAAAAGCAAGGACCTTTTATGTCTAATCACTCTTTAAACGTAACGATATAATTTTAACATATTTAGATTAATTTTTCTACTGATAAATAAACAAAATAATGCATAATTTAAAAATTTACTGTAAGTTTACATATTTTTTAAAATATAAATAAGAACGATTCTTAAAATCATAAATATTCAAATCAATAATGTTTTATTCTAACATATAAATGTTTCTTTGTAGGCTGGCTTTGAGCTAGGATGAGCTTTGTTAGACTTATTTTAAGTTTAAATTACGTTTTAACGTTTCATTGGACTAGGCTTTAAAGCATGAAAGTATCCCTTGTCAAATAGAAAAGCATGGACCATTTATGTCTAGTTGTTCTTTGGATTATCTTATTGTCTAGCTAGATGTGAGGCAGGACATTCGTGTCCCCGCTTAAACAGAGTCTATTTGAACGTTTTAGAATACTAATGACAACTAGTTTATTCTAAACAATAAAGTGACATTTCCATCTTCAGTTGGCCATGTTTTTGCCTATCTAAGTGTGTTCACGCCTATACGAAATCTATGCTAATCTTTTAGAACACTAATGACAATTAGATGGTTTTGAACAATAAGTGACATTTCTATCTTGAGTTGGCCATCTTGTCGCATGTCTGAATGTGTCTGCGCCTAAACGAAGTCTACGTGAACCTTTTAGAACACTATAGACAACTAATTTAATTCTTACCGAGCAGTGACATCTCAATCTTAATGAATCTTGAACATTTATAATTCAAAAATGTTCCAGTTTTTAAACTCTTCATCTCTAAGTTTGTATATTTTTCTATATAAAGAAATTGGATTGTTCAATGTATTTTCAAAAAATAAAATTTCATCCTCTTAAATTTTGGGAAAAGATTAATATAGACCTCTTATATATTTGGTCACCTATTTCGGACCGTTAAATGTACATTCCATATGGCTCTACAATAAAATTGACGCTTACATTTCATTAAAAAAAAAGAGAAAGATGGAATCTGTCAAACCCAGTTGGATAAATGTTTAGACCTTTGAACAAGTTTGTAATAATCACATTCACTTTGCCTACTTACTTAGAGCATCTTGAAGACCTTTGAACAAACTCGTAATAATCACATTTACTCTGCATATTTAGTTAGAGCATATTGAAGAGACTATTTTTTTTAAAGAACGTCTTTGCCATAATTGATAGTATTTTTAAATTTAAAGGGTAAAAGTTTACATTTTAATTTCAAGTTTCGAATTCATTTTCACTTTTTCTGCTTTAAGGATAGATTTTAATATTGAAGAAAACACATTCATTGTTTCTCAAAAAACAAACAAATTAAAAACACAATTGACTTGAAATTTGTAGAAATTGTTTTAAGACCTTCTAAAAATTTGATTCTTCAGTAAACTAAAATACTTTTATGCTAATATATTATCAAGTAATATATACAATATAAAATTGGCAAACCTTACAATAATTTTTTTCACTAAAAAAACAAAATACATTAACTTGGCAAAAAATGAAAATAATGATATGAACCTAGAATAGTAGAACCCAATTTCATGCAACGACAACTCCATTAGGGTATTGTGGCGGTGGCGGTGGCAGTGGTGGTAACAATGACAGGGATGGTGTGAAAGGAGGAGGAAGGGTGTGGTGGCGTAGAAGGGATGAGAGGATAAGGATGGTCTTGCGGTGGGAGAAAGGGGTGGTTGGGATGAGAGTGATAATGTGGAGATGGGATTTGGGCAAGAATATAACATTCATTATTATTATTTTTTTCTTTCATTTTTTATTTTTTTTCGTTGGGTGGTTTTGATTTACAATTGAAAGGAGTCATATTACTTTTATTTTCCACATTTTTAATTTTATGTTATAAATTTAATATTGTTTTTGAAAATGTATTTTCAAAAATATTAAACCAAACTAGTTTTGAATTTTTATAAAAATTCAAAACTGAAAACAGCAAATTGAACTTCACCTGAACTTTTTATATACTGCAACTCTTTATTTTTGTTTTTTATTTTACTTTCCCCAACATTCATTTATTGTCTTCCCTCATTTTTTAATTTTTTTTCCCGTTCCAATAGCTTAAAACACTAAATATAAAATAAGTACTATAAATAGTGAAAGCATTTAAACTTGCAATCTTAAAATTTTCAAATAAAAATTGAGTTTGGCTCTCCAGACATGTGGGCTCAAGGTCACTCTGACAGTTAACAAAGACCCAATAGGCCAACATGAAGAAATTAATGGCTGAAACACTGTCTCATTGTCCAGAAGCTCTTTTATGTTCAAGCACTATCTCATTGTACCGAAGTTCTTTTCTATCGAAGCCCTCTTTCCAACTGAACCTCTTTGTTCGAAGCCATTCTTTTAAGCTAAAGCACATATTGTCTTTCAAGGGATTTGCAAAGTATCTCTATGAATAATTGCTGTAACGTTTTATATTAATAAATGTTAGAATTGTCAGCTTAGGATGTAGGATGGCTGATTCGTTGTCAATATACTAATGAATGACAGAGAATGATGTGAGGCTTCGGTTAACAAGATGAAGCCTCGTGGTTCTGATCCAATAATTACCACGTCCGTCAAAACTCTATAAATAGCAATGTTTGTTAAATCGGACTGGCCGGTAAAATCGGAAACCGGACCAAAATTCGGTCCGGTTATACTAAATTAATCGGTTATTTAATAATCGAAAAATCGGTCAAATAAACCAAAAATCGGGAACCGGTTACGGTTTTGACCGATTTTCACAACTTTATATATATAAAATAAATAAGTTACCTTAAAGATGGAAACCCATATACTCACATCTTCACCTATGGAGCTCTTTTATAACCATTTCTTGTATCCCATAAACTCCAATGTGGGATTGACAAAATTTTATAAAACACACTTTCAATGTGGGATTGACAAACTTCAACAAAGCACACTTTTTCAATATTATTTATGGCCACATGGTGCATGATTACACTATTAAATTA